AGACACTGCCGCGAATCGGAGTGCTGCGACACTGGTATCCAACCCCAGGGGGTGTGGTGGCACGCCTAGGTGCATATCCGGCCGTGCCAGCCACCTGCTCCCCCCCCCCTCCCCTCCTACTCAGGTCCTCTAGACTGTGTCTCGATACCGGATCCGGGTGAGGAGTGGGGAGGAGGGGGGCATGCGATAGATGCTGCGAAAGTTTACCATCGCTGTAAACTAATTCACGCGCAAGTCACCGTGCCTACTGCACCTTGCTGTGTGGCACGCGGTGGACATCGTCAGAATGGACTGTCGAACTGTCGTTTGTAGGCTCGATTTCGGTGTCTATAACCGTCCTCGGAGAGGCCCACGTCTTTTTGGCTGATATTAGGGAACCGCCAGTCATGTTGTTCACCAGTGCGTCGCTTGCAGTGTGCCACCACCTTGTCTATGTTTCTTTCCTATCACCTCCGACCTCCAACGTTACACTGTCTGAACTTCGAATCAACATGGTCAACCTCCTCGAGGGGGCCGAATATCAGACACTCCCGTGCACCATTCCACTGCAGTCTTGTTTCCAAAGCCTGCCATCTCATCTGACCGCCCAAAGGTTGTCGCCAAAACAGGAACAGGGGGATAGCCTCGGCATTTCTGCCATCAGCAAAGAAGCATGCGCAAATGCAGGGCACCTCCTGACGCGGTGCTACCTCCGTGTGATTCTTACTCTCACTTTTCTGTCCCTATTCCAATACTTCCTTTAGAATATTGCTACGGGAGTTTTATGCGGCAGTGGTGCACAGCCAAGAAGCAGCGTCATGATCCCTCCTCCGATGTGGCCTCTCAGTAGAGGAAAAACTTTGCCCCAAGTGCGATAGGTCGGTGATGACTCCGTGGACAGAATATGCCGGTATGGAGGTGCACAGAGGAAGAGTTTGTCAGTTTGTGCGACCGGTAAGAAAGGCGAAGTAAATTCTTCCCTTACTGTGATTTGAACAGAAGACCACTGTAATTTGAATCTCTGTGAAATTTCGGAGCTAGTTTATCTCTGAACCAACAGAATGCCGCTGGAAGAGGTGTCGAAGCTTATTAGTAGGTCCCGAAATACTGAGTTTTTCTGTATTAATTTCTGCCAGGAAGTCTGCTCCGGAATGATATCGGTCGTTTAATGAGGAAAGCTGAATAGCACACTGAAAAACCCAATCCACGTTGAAGAGGCCAGGTTTTCAGGGTGCCATAAGTGTAATTGTTGCCGCCTTTTAGGTGGTGATGTGGCAACCATAGGGTAAAGGATCCCAGTTAACTGCGTCATACGGGGATGATGGTAATGGCGAGGTTTTACGGGTGGGACAGCACGCCGAACAGTAAGCTGGCGGAATTCAGGAGACCAGAGAAGATGGTCGGCGGCAAAAACAATACTTTCGAGAAAAATGATGAATGTATGCAGATACGGTATTCAGCTGGATATTCCATGCCGTTCCACCTTGAAGGAATGCCTGACCATCGAACAATTGGGCATATCCCCTGGCAGACAGTTCTGTCATCCCCCAACTCATGCTCAGTTGATTTCCGTTTTTTGTTTCTCCGCTCTTGGCTACAACTGCCAGTCATCGGTACTTAACTAGATTTCACAAGTACGTACATCAATTCGCAGTTTATTGACAACTAATTGGGTCCTTCACCCTACCATTGCCGGAGATGCATCTGCCAAGGAAAACGGTAACGATCCAGTACAGAATTATCGGCGACGTTGACCACACACAGTAGAAGCAGATTCAACAGTAAATTCGGACATATGGCCATCTTATCGGCTACTTAATCAGGCTGGGTACGATCAAAAAACGTCAGCCATCAGGAAGATTAAGTAGATCTGAATGCAGATGCGCACATCCAGCAAATCGAGCGGACTTGGTTAGACAGCAAGATTCAGATTTCGAAGGAAGATCTCGGAGTTCCATAGCATTTACTTCGGGAGCACTTGTATGAACAATGCTGGCGTGCCTTCGAGGGAGATAAAGACCACTTCATAGCAATCCTACGCGATATTTGAGAAGTATGTGTTGCTTTATTGTTGCTATTTAATTCAGATTTAATGTTCACAATACAGTTGACATATTTTAAATCTGATTCTTGTCTTTAAGCAGTGTCTACTAGGATAGGAATCACGCTATAATAAAACACCGATAGTAGGAATCACTATGGTAGCACCCTTGGTGCTTTTAGCGTTTAAGCACCTAAAAGTCCGTCCATTCGACGAAGCTGGCACGCCTGTATGCCCATTTCTCACCCACGTCCAAGCCTTACTTTGCGACTTCAGTTTTCACTTCCCCGATTACCTGGTCATCTGCTGCCACGGCGCCGTCCAGCGGCAGTGGAGCGTGTGTCACATCGCCTTGAGTGAGAGTCCGTCTGAGTCGGCCTTGAAGTTGATTGGCCGGTGTTCACAACCGTGATTGGCCAGGAGCCAGACTACTGTCACTGTGTAACGTTCCTTGCTCTGAACAGGGTTGTTTGAATGCTGTAACAGTTTTTGGCACGGACCTGGCATGGCGATGGTGTAACTGCGTGCTGGTGAAGACGGCCGGTGTCCCTTCCTCTCGCTATCGCCGACACCCCGCTCTCACAACGCATCGCCACTCTCGTCTCTCTCACTCAACGTCAGCTCCCCCCTCGGCCCTTCCCTGCAGTTGCCCACAGCGCTGCATCCCCACCGGCTGTTTAGCTACTATGTCAGGGCCACCTATCCATCCAGACAGGTCATCTATTTGCAGTTTCTCATTCTAAGTATCAAGAGATGCTAACAGTTCTGTTCAGATCTATCTCCGCCTGGATCTCTTCTCAACGTTTAATTAGTTTGGTGTGTGCTACCCTTGACGTCTTCGGCAGCTACAACTGGTTAGCAGGCGGAAGAGGGAGAGCAAACTCGGTACCGTGAGAGCGAAGTCCCGAGTGGTGATGGGCAGCGTGTCACAGTGCATTGGGCGAGAGCAGGCCTCAGTCGGCCTCAAAGACGATAGGCCGGTTTGGATAGCTATGATTGGTTGAGAAGCAGACTTTCAGTGGTGCGTCCGTGTAAGCGCTCATGCGATGCGCGCCCTTGCTAGAGGCACCCCGAGAAGGACCACTAAAGGCGCACGGCTCATTTTCGGCCTACTTGCAGTCATCAGCCAGCCCCAACCAATCCCACCATTAGAGGTCGACTGAGATTCCACCCAAGCCGCGCTCTAATGCTTAGTAGTCTAATGCCCTCACGACTGAGCCATGGACTCACTGTCGTGTCAATTGTGATCAGGTAGAGGGTGGACGCTCGCTGGGTGGGACTTATGGGATATATGCGTCCCCTTCTGATTTGAGACTCCATTCAAAATTCATCTGACATAGCCGATCGAAGGCGACACCACAAGGAGTCAGTGGTAAGCGCGTATGAATAGTAAAAATCAAAAGACCGTGCATTGAAGTCACAGGTCTTCCCAAACCTGAAAGCTGACTGATGACGGGAAGTAAGCCAGAAATGGCCACACCACCCGTCTCCTTTCAGCGTACTAAGAAATATGAATTAATAAGAAATAGCCAGAGTATGAGTAGCCGAAATGATGCAACGGAAAGACTTGGACACCACAATGAAAACCAACCCTCCGTCCACAATACGAGCAGTAAACATAAAGATGCTTAATCCTCAAAACAAGTCATCAAGCATTCTCGGTACTCCAATCATCTACCATACGCCAAAATCAGCTCAGACAGCAACACTCGCCTTGTTTACTCACATGTTCGCTTACTACCAAGTAACAAAAGGGATTCCTGTAGCAGAGTGTCAAACAAACCCATAAATTCTTCCTCCACACCCAGCTATAAAAGGAAGGCTAGTGGTGCATGTGGTTGAGTCGTCAGCTCTTCTACAGCATCTCAACCGAAGACAATGAAACTGCTTCTCACATTGCTGGTGTTGGCAGTCCTGGCGCAGATGACCCTGGCGAAAACGGTTAAGAAGGACGAGGAGGAACCAGAGGGAGAGGTGAGTGCGAAGGAGGACGAGGGTGCAGTGTCTCCAGCCTGCGGCGGCGGTTGGTGGGGTGGCTGTGGCTGTCATCACCACCACGGATGTTGTTGGCGTCGCTGCTGCCACCATCACCACCACTGTTGCCACCATCATGGTTGGGGTTGGGGTTGGTAAATATGCCCAATGTCTGTGAAGTGCGACAATAAATGATTAACTGATCCATTAACTACGTGTTCTCTTCTTGAATATCTAGTCGGTCTCTATCATTGCGAATATCTACGTAGTCTGGTTGGTAGGAGTGAGGATTGAATCGCTTTCTGGAGGTTCTAATGATGTTGGCTTGCACTGAAGAACGCCTCCATTGCAAGGCTTTGCGGTACAAATGTCTATCTTGTTCGATGAGATAGCTTCGTTGGCTGTTGCATCGTTTGTCGACAAGTAGCAAGGACTGTTGAGCCATTGTGATGAATGGGTCAGTCCTCGGTACAAGGATCACTGGCAGCGGTATGAAAACGATGTGTCACTTAGTGCTCTTGGCCCATCCGAGCGGTATCCACCGAGCAGACTATTATGCTAGTTAGCCTGAAAGTGACCAGAGAG